TGAAATGTAATATATAAGAGTTATGGTTTCAGTGAGGGGGGAGCAGGCTTCAACTGGGTGAATTTAAGTGTTCTTTAAGCTTAGGCACTATATTTATGTGTCTGCCAAATGGTGCTGGAAGTAAGATTAAAATATTGAACACTAGATTGCAGGTGAAGATTGCTATGGATTTGAAATACCACACTAACTTTTGAATTTTTTAGTGGAGGTGAAACTATACAAACTAATGTTATACTGTAAGCAACTTCTGTAATATAGAAATGTTCATCAAAGCATCAGTAAAACATTGCTTATATAAGGTATCCTGAAGTGGTGCAACTACTACAATACTACAGTAGAATCAGTGGGCTTTTGATGTTATTGGTTTTTGGAAAGATCAATCTTATGTGCTGTCTGACTTTCTTACTATCCTTTCTTAGTGTCTTTTCAGTAGAATGTACATTTAATGGTCATCGGTGTTATGGGATAGTCTGTTTGATCCTTCAGTATTGGGCAAAGGAGGAGAAGCAAGCTTTAGAATCTTAACTAGGCAGCATCCTAATAGCAGTTCTGGTGCCACACAAACTCTCTCATTAGCTGAATAGCAAAAGGACGGTTCTGGCAGCTGAAAGATTCTGTTAAAAAAAAGTCTGACAGCCAAGAGAATAAAAGCTCTTTTCACTTGTTTTGTTAATTGCTGTTGCTCCCAGGAGAAATGTGTTTATTTGATCTGGTAGAGAAGTATCGCTGAAAAGTATTGTAGTTCTGAAATTTACTAGATAGTTCATACTTCTATTATTGTTAGCTGCCATAAACTTAAGAATCAGCTATAACATCGGGGAGGGGGGATCTGCCACTGAAGACGTAGGGGGTTTTACACTGTTTCATCTCAATAATACATAGATAATCTCTTTAGATCGTAGACAAAGCCCTCGAAGAGCCCAAATATAGCTCGCTATATGCTCAACTATGTCTGCGACTGGCAGAAGATGCACCCAACTTTGATGGCCCATCAGCAGAGAGTCATCCAGGACAGAAGCAAAGCACAGTAAGTGTAAATCTTTCCCTAGTTGCAGCTGATACGAGAATGGATATTCGTCAGTGACAAAATATAGAAATTGTTGCCTTTTTATTCCTAGACATTCAGACGCCTCTTAATTTCTAAACTTCAAGATGAATTTGAAAACCGCACCAGAAATGTTGATAGTAAGATTTCAGATTTTTAATCTAATTTCTTCTTTGATTTTGTGTAATTTATATTAAAGCAGAGTAACACTGATGTGTATGCTTGTTTGTTTTTCAGTCTATGATAAGCATGACGGCCCCCTCCTCCCCGAGGAGGAGGAACAGAGAGCCATTGCTAAGATTAAGATGCTGGGAAACATCAAATTCATTGGAGAACTTGGCAAGCTTGATCTTATTCATGAATCTATCCTTCATAAGTGCATCAAAACAGTAAGTTGGTTTTCAGTCTTGGTGTTGTTACTTTGGGGGCAAATTGTAACATGCAAGATAATGTTGCAATTGAAAATAACATGCTTTAAATAAAATTTGGCAAGGATATGTGTTCATAATGAATCCTGTCTTTAAGTAGATATTCCCTTCTTATATGACTTCATAGAACTTTATACGATTTCTAGCTGGAAAGCAGCTGAGCCTGCATTTCATAACTTTGGGTGGGGGGGGGGAACCTTCATATCAGTGAGATCCAAAAAAATAACTGGATCAAATTACAGGGTGTTTGAAGCAGTGACCAGGTCTGTCAATCCTCTGCACATTATTCCAGATGTGCATGGATTAAACAAAACCTGGGACATGCTCTCCTGTAATAGACAGTTTCAGATGAAGTTGCTTAATGAAAGTACAGTTGCCTTTCAGAGAAGCTTGCCAGCAATTGCTGATCTTCCCTTTCCAAAAACTCTGTAGTTATTTTCATAATACTTTAAATATGTTAAACTATAAACTTGATAACTTATCAAAGGATACATATATCCAGAGTTCAGTGCAAGTACTGTATCTTATAGGCAAAAGACAAAGGCTTGGAAAATCTAAAATAAACACCAGTCTGCTTTATTCTGTCCGCTGCGACACTACCTCTGGCCATTTTGAATGCCTGGGTAGAGAAATAGCAGTGGCTCTCTAGCCCTTGCTCTCAAAGGAGCATCAAGTACAAGTATCGATGATTTCGAGTTCTTCCAAGATGGACTTGGCCAGACCTGCACAACCCGTGGCCCTCCCATGTGTTTTGGACTTCAACTTCCAGAATTACTGTCCATGGGACAGGTTGGCTAGAGCTTCCTGGGAGTTGTAGTCCCGAATACCTGGAGGGCCGCAGGTTGTGCAGGTCTGGACTTGGCTTTTGCCTTTCAGCACTACTTGGAGAAAAGGGGTTGGTTACTTTCTTGATTAAGAGTTCATACTTTAACTCTTATTTAACAATATGGACCATCCTCGTCTAAATAGTCGTGTGTGTGTGTGTGTGTGTGTGTGAATGTATATATGTATGTGTATGCCTGGGCAAGATAATGATGACGATGGCTAACCCATTGAGGTGATGCACTCTTTCCTCTCTCCACATAACGACTCTTGACTTATCCATGGGACATAACAAAATCCAGAATTTTGGCCCCTAAACTCGTCCCCATCATATACATGTGCTTGGCTTATACATGAGTGTATGTGGTATGAAATGCTGTAAAGTGTCCACAAAGAAACCTATTTTTAATGGATCCATTTTTGGCTTCCAAATTTTCAGCTTTTGGAAAAGAAGAAGAGAGTTCAACTCAAGGATATGGGAGAGGATTTGGAATGCCTCTGTCAGATAATGAGGACAGTAGGACCTAGACTAGACCATGCAAAAGCCAAGGTACGCATTCTAAAAACATATATTGCTTGCTTATAATTCCTGTATTGATGTTGGTGTTCTAGGCAACTGTTCAGTATATCTAACAGCAACAGGTTTTTTTAAAAACACCTTGAGGTATTGTTTCTTTGCCTATCTTAGGATGCCGTGAGGTATGCATGGGAAATCGGTGGCCCCCCGGAGGTTGTTGGACTGTGTCCCCCACAAACTCCCATTTATCCTAGCAAATGTTTAGCAGTGATACAGTTGCAGTTTACCAATAACTGGGGTGTAGGGGGCCACCCTCATGTCTGGTGTAAATTCTGCTTTGACTTTTTTTTTCAGTAAAAGAGAAAAGATTGTATTCCTGGAACACCGTGTTTAGTGATACCTAGCTATTTTAAGCAAAAAGGAGAACTAGCATAAAGGGAAATACATTATTTTTATTAAGGGTGGGAGGTAGAAACTAAGTGCTGTTCAAGGAGATGCCCGTGCTTCTGTTGTATTGCATGTTATGAGGTGTTGGCCTAGCTGATCATGGAAAATTTCTTTCTAAACAGTCCTTAATGGATCAGTACTTTGCCCGTATGCGCTCCTTGATGATGTGTAAGGAATTGCCGGCAAGGATTCGTTTCCTGCTGCAGGTAAAAGCATAACTTTGATTACTGTCGCATGTCAGATGTTCTGGCAAATGTACCTGAACTTTATTCTGCATTTTATGCTTAAAGGATACTGTGGAGTTGAGAGAACACAATTGGATTCCTCGCAAAGCTTTTCTTGACAATGGACCAAAGACTATCAATCAAATCCGTCAAGATGCAGTGAAAGTAAGTACAAAAATACTTAGTTTTGGGATTACAGCTGTATTGTATCATGAATAAAAATAGAGCCATGAAATGTGTTTTTAATGTAAAGTATGTTTTAAGATAATCCCTTAACACATTGTGGGTTTCATATTTTGTTTTTAAGGATCTGGGAGTTTTTATTCCTCCTCCTATGTCTCAAGGAATGAGAAGTGACTTCTTTTTGGAGGGACCGTTCATGCCACCCAGAATAAAACTAGACAGGGATCCACTTGGAGGGCTTGCTGATATGTTTGGACAAATGCCTGGTAATTACATCAACTTTGGAATTAACCATATAGCAGCTATGTGATGATTTCAATACTTAAGACAAATTAAGACAAATGTGTATGCATTCCTAAACAGGTAGCGGAATTGGTACTGGTCCAGGAGTTATTCAAGATAGGTTTTCACCCACCATGGGGCGACATCGGTCAAATCAACTCTTCAATGGCCATGGGGGACACCTCATGGCTCCTGCTCAATCCCAGTTTGGAGAACTAGGCAAATCCTTCTTGAAAAATCCAGTAAGTTGTTTTAATGGAAGCAATTTGAAAACAAAAATGTACTAAGATTCCTTCTGTTCATCAGGGCCTGAAAGGATGACAAATCTAGCCCTTGCTTTTCCACCATTTACTTCATGGCTCTGAAGTCTTATATGAATGCTGACTAATACAGGGTGAAAACTGAGTTGTGAATCTTGAAGAAGCTTACTGCAATATATTGATTGCTGTCATAAAAGATATATCTTTTTTTGCTCACAGTATATCCGAAATAGTTTGCATGCTGAATGTCAGTTAATTGGCATTTTAATGTTACCGTTTCTTGTAGCAGTGGATAGTGTAGACCAAGCTAAGGATCGTGCAGCCCAGGGCCTCTTGTGGAGGCCCTGAAAAAAATGGCTGAAAAACACCTTTTGGGGCTAAAGTATAGAAATGCACACACACCAGCAGAAAGGCAGCCCTCGAAAGTCAGTCAGCCGTGACCAGAACATTTGGGGAGGTGGTATTAGGAAAATAGGAATAGGTGGGTTTTAGGGAAAACCTAAAATGACTCTCCATTCCTTTGCATGTGCATGTGTCAAAGAGAGCTGTTGCAAGAAATGCTGAAAATGTGAGGTACTTTAAAACATTGACGAAATAAGAGTACTGAGACGTGGTGGTTTTCACTTCCCTTGAAAACAGGGGCAAAGCCAACTATACCATAATCAGAATCAGGGACTTCTATCTCAGCAACAAGGACAGTCCAAGGATATGCTGCCACGGTTTTCTAAGAAAGGACAGCTTAATGCAGATGAGGTACATGCTTTTGTCTGAAGTGACTTGGTTCTGAACACAATGCCCGATGATTACAACAAGACGCGTTATTACGAGGACCAGTGCTGGAACTCCCTTCCTGTTTTCTGTCATCCCTCCCATCTTTTTCTCAGTCCCCCAAATTTCACTTCCTATCCTTCTCTTTCTACTCCCTCCCCCCAAATCCTTGGAGTATCCAGTGTCCTGTGAGCAAGATTATGAGATATGAGGGCAATGATCCTATTCATAAAGGAGCAGTTGAAATAGTTCCAATCCTTGGTGGTGAAATAAGTCACAATAAAATGTCCTTCGCAACTGATTTTCATATTTAATCAACCAATATTCTATAAGATCCTGTCCGTCAGTTTTGAATCTGACCACTAATACCTGTGTAACAAGTACAGTCCCACTTTCTCTTGTATGCAATCCAGACCTCTTAATTTTTTTCCCGCAGATTAGCCTGAGGCCTGCTCAATCTTTCCTAATAAATAAAAACCAAGTGCCAAAGCTTCAACCCCAGATAACTATGATCCCACCCAGTGCACAGCCACCGCGAACTCAGACACCACCTTTGGGTCAGGTAAATATAAAAAATGCATATGGGAAAGTGAGAAACGCTTATTTTTGTAGTCCGCACTTTCTTCTCTGACTTTGGAATCAAAAGCATTGCTTCCTGTAGTCTCTTAAAATCTAATGAACCCATTTCATTTAGTAAGCAACCTTCAGGGTTTAGAAGAATAAATGCTTATGGAAAGAGTTGTATAGGAAGATGCTGGACTCTGCAGGGATGCTTTTTTTGGAGGCAAGTCTTGGTGAGAGTTCCTGCTTAGTAAATTTGCAAACTGTTGGGCAGCTGATTTTTGAAAATGGAGGAGTTTCAAATACATTTGTAGAACTTTGGTTAAATATGCTTCTGGAATGGGAGATGTTTGAACTCACCATTTCTTGGCAGCATGTTGGCAAATCTTGAGCCATCTTAGGAATTGTTTTGCTGAAGTGAACTGAACACTGCAGAGGTTGAAACCAACAGCTTTTAAGTCTAGATTCTTCTGTATTAGAGTAAACATGCTTTCATATCGCTGCTCAGTATCTCAATGAAATTTGTTAATGTTTTCAGCCACCTCAGCTTGGTCTCAAGACAAATCCTCCACTTATCCAGGAGAAGCCTGCAAAGACCAGTAAAAAGCCTCCACCTTCTAAGGAAGAGTTACTTAAGTTAACAGTAAGTTTTGTTGCTCACACTTAGAAGTCCATACTCTCACTTTTGCAAATTGCTATGGGAAATAGCCAACTTGTTCCATCTCTACTTTTTTTCTTTCTTTTTAGGAAGCTGTTGTGACTGAATATCTGAACAATGGAAATGCCAATGATGCTGTCAACAGTGTACGAGAAATGAGGGCGCCAAAACACTTTATTTCTGAGATGCTAAGCAAAATAATACTTCAGTCACTAGATCGATCAGACGAGGACAAGGAAAAAGCAAGCACGCTCATCAACCTACTTAAGCAGGAAGGGATAGCTACTAGTGACAACTTCATGCAGGTACTAGCACAATGGGGCGGCAATTCTGGTTTGGTTTGTGGCATATGCTTGCCCTTTTCATGTGCCTAATCAGGAACTTCATGAATGCTAATTACCACTCTGTTTTTCAGGCCTTCCTAAATGTATTGGATCAGTGTCCTAAACTGGAGGTGGACATCCCTCTAGTGAAATCGTACCTCGCGCAGTTTGCAGCTCGTGCCATAATTTCGGAACTAGTGAGCATCTCTGAACTGGCGCAACCCTTGGAAAGTGGCACCCATTTCCCCCTTTTCCTGCTTTGCCTTCAGCAGTTAGCTAAACTACAGGACCGTGAATGGCTGACGGAGCTCTTCCAACAGAGCAAAGTCAATATGCAGAAGATGCTGCCAGGTGAGTGTGCAGAAAGAGGCGCTAACTATTATTTATTGGGGGGGGGGGGGTTGAAAATGGTGCTAAACACACTTAGTCTCTTAAAGGGATAAGCCAAAGCAGGAATGCCTTATCACTGTTAGGTTGAAATTATTGTCAAGCCCGAATGATAAATTGGAACATTCTGTGTTTTACAGAGATTGACCAGAATAAAGACCGTATGCTGGAGATCTTGGAAGGGAAAGGACTTAGCTTCTTGTTTCCGCTTCTGAAACTGGAAAAAGAGCTATTAAAGCAAATAAAATTGGACCCATCCCCTCAAGCGATTTATAAATGGATAAAAGACAACATTTCACCAAAACTTCATGTAGATAAGGGATTTGTTAATATTTTGATGACCAGGTGAGAAATTAAATGTATCTTAATTTTGTTGCATAAGAATGATTTGTTCAAAGTGGTGTTATTATTGGGATTCACATATGTTTTAGTCTCACTATGCATTTGTCTCCAAATAATATGGAAAAATTGTTGAGCATTGTCCTAAGGCCAGGTGGGGAAAGTATGGTACTCTTGATGTAGACTACAAGACCCATCGGTCCTAGCCTACAACACACTTACAGGGAGAACCAGACCTTGGGTCTTGCCTCATTTTTACATAAAAGAGCATGTTATAAATAAGGACCTAAAGCCAATGGTTAATCTTAGTTATGGTGGTACTATTGAATCTGCTGACTATTGAGAATATGGTGAGAACATTTATGTAAGTTTCAATAACTCAGTAAGTTATTATTAGTTGGGACTAATGGCATTTTTCATTTGGTTTTCAAGTTTCTTGCAGTATATTTCTAGTGAAGTAAACCCACCTAACGATGATCCGGATTCTTCCTCTGCTCCTTCTAAAGAGCAGTTGGAGCAAGAAAAACAGCTGCTTCTTTCCTTTAAGCCAGTAATGCAGAAGTTCCTTCATGACCATGTTGATCTACAAGTGAGTGCCCTGTATGCGCTCCAAGTGCACTGCTACAATAACAACTTTCCAAAAGGTAGGAACAATAGTACTTCCTGCTCTACCCTTCTCGATGCAACCCTGATCTTGTCATGGAAAGTTGTGGCAGATTCTGGGCCCCAAACAGGGGCAGCAGCCATTTTGTAATAAGGGACACAGGTGTTCATAATTTTGCCTAAAGGCATGGGATTCAGTTATATATGTTGGCTGCACTATGAAAGTTACAACTAGTTTCCTTATCTGTGATACAGAGTTAGTAGTTATAGCAAGAGGTAATACATAAGCTGACATGACAGAGGTCTTTCAGACTACTGTGCTACTGATGCTTAAAAGTCAGTTATTTTGTTTTCAATGCGGAATTGTTTTATGTTTTAATACTTTAACATATGGGGTGCAGAAAAAAACATTTCTGTATTGACAATGGGATTATTGGTTTGTCGTTTCAGGCATGTTACTGCGCTTCTTTGTTCATTTCTATGATATGGAAATCATTGAAGAAGAAGCTTTTCTGGCATGGAAAGAAGACATTACTCAAGAGTTTCCAGGGAAAGGAAAAGCTTTGTTCCAGGTATATAGCTTCTCAATAAGTTGTTACAAAAAGCACTATTGTCTATAAACCTTTTAAACATTGTAAAGATGTTGACAATCAGGCCACTGAAATACCTATTAATGTAGTTCTCAGGATTCAAATTTAATATAAATGGGTAAAGGACTTTTAAAAGCTGTCCTGTGGCTAATTCAACTGCTGTTCTCAATTAAAGTAGAAGCTTGGCTGGTCAGCACTTGTTGTATGGAATCAGTGCTGTCTCTACTCCAGTTAGAGTAGCAATTTGAGTTAGGCCTGAATTTTATATTATGGTGGATGCATGCAGGTTGTCTCCAGGTGGGTATAAACTGTCACACTTTCACTCTTCCAGCTATTAACGTGGTACTGATCTATTTGCAGGTGAACCAGTGGTTGACCTGGCTGGAAACGGCTGAAGAAGAAGAATCTGAAGAGGAAGCTGACTAAACCAGCCAAAGCCTTAAATTGTGCAAACATACTGTTGCTATGATGTAACTGCATTTGACCTAACCACTGCGAAAACTCATTCCGCTGTAATGTTTTCACAATATTTAAAGCAGCAGTCGGTCAATAGGACTTGCTTCTGCATAAGGGTTTTTGTAGTATGTCTTAATCATAGTCTACCATAAAAATATTTTAGAGTATCTTTAATGTTTAGATAACAGTGTATTAGCAGCATGCAATAATTACATCATAAGTTCAGAAGCAGTCTGTGTAAGGATCTTCTTTGATGCCAGTTACCATAGGCTGTTTGTTAGAAATCCGAATAGCAACACTGAATACTGTAGAAATGCACTTTGCTCAGTGTAATACTTGAGTTGTTGCAATATTTGATTATCCATTTGGTTGTTACAGAGAATCCTTAACTGTAATCGATGGTGGTTGCCGTAATAGTATATTGCCTGTATTTCTACCTCTAGTAATGGGCTATATGTGCTAGATTTTAATATCTTTGAGCCTGGGCAAGTGCACAAGTCTTTTTTAAAAAGGAACACGGTTTACTTGCACAAAAATGATCAGTTTGAGGAGGTGGATAAATGCCCTAGGAAGTGGTTTTTGGGTGTGAAGCAAAATGGTGAGAAACTGAATTGGTCCCTATTATAGTATTGAAATTAAGTCTACTTAATTTATCAAGACATGTTCATGCCCTGATTTTATATACTTGTATCTATCAATAAATATTGTGATACTTGAATATCTGTTGAAATGACTGCTCTTTAAATTTTCTTTGTCTTGACAGTTGGAAAAATTGATTCTGAGGGTAAACACTCTTCTGGTAGGCTTTTTATATTTGGGCCCCCTTTTCCTTAATCAGGCACTCGTGGCGCAGATAAGACAAACCTTGTGGGAAAGGGTGACACCAAATTTTATGAAAGACTGTGATTCCATCCATTTATAACATGATCCATGCTTCAGAATCATATTTGTTTTTTGAAGTGTTTAGGAGTTTTGAAAACAGTGGCGCATTTTACATTGACCTGTTTGTTGGTGGGACTTCTAGGAATTAGACTGCTAATTTAGTGCAATTAAGAGAATCCAGGTATATACAGCTAGACAGAGGTAAGAATCATGAGGCCATTCAGATGTTCTAGTTGCCATATCTGACAATTACCAATTGAGGTCTAATCCTGGGAGCTGCAATTTAAATATCATCTGGAGGAGGTTCATGATTCCCACCTCAGCTCTATAAAGCACGAATGGGGTATATGCCTTACGGTCTGCAATGTGTATCGTCCCTCTCCATTGACTGGTGTCTTGAATTGATGGGAGTTGCAGT